AATCGACTGTCACGGCAGGATATCAGATCAATTCTGTATAGGTACTACCTAGCTACATTATGGGTCACGTTATTGTTGCTAAATCTGCAGTGGCGTCGTGAAGACGGGGTTTTTGTTAATATTCTGTGTAGGCACAATGGATGTATTATTATTATTATATCTTTTGATGTATTTTCCTGGGTACAAAACATAATACGTATATATTTTATTGTCCCCGTATCTCAATGATACATCTATCGCTTGTAAACCTTCTAAATGCAGACGGTTATTATAATACATATATAGACAGACATTGTATACGTTTAAATGTCATTTTGAGCTAAGCACTTAGGGGATATGGTGTTCTTAAATCACATGCCCTTAAATGGTAAAAACTGAAATATACATCAAATATTTTATATTACAAAGTGCTAACATTTAGAAAATTTCTATACAGCTATTATTTACAAGTAATCTTTTAGGTACCATTTTTATATCCATTATACCAAAAGTGAAATGTAAATTGAAGTATTAAATACAATAATGTATAAAATCCAGACGGTTATTATAATAGACATTGTAAACGTTTAAATGTCATTTTGAACAAAGCACCTAATGATTGTGGCGTCCTTAAATCACATGTCCTTAAATGGTAAAAACTGAAATATACATTAAATATTTTATATTATAAAGCGCTAACATTTAGAAAATGTATTATGTGCTATTATTTACAAGTAATCTTTTAGGTACCATTCATTATAATTAATTGCTATAATTGCTATAATATTTATTGTAGTAAAAATTAAATTTAAACTGAAATATTGAATACAATATAATATAATTGAGCTGAAAACGAAGCATAAATAAAGGTATTAACTTCCAATTTTAAGGATGGTGGATGTAATACACGCATAATATTATCAGTTTTATTTTTATAATCTATATGTATAGACTTTTTTCAACCAGTAGGTAGTTGTTGCTAAAATAATATGACAATGATACACGCTAGAATTCTATATTTACGAATAATATTTTACATCCATTTCTGTGTCAGGTAAAACGTGAGTGAATATATTTTTATATAAATTTACGATTTTGTAATGTTTCTACGCATAGCTGATTACACCTAATGTTACAATATAAGAATTTGTTAAGCGATTTAACTGTAAAAGATAGAATATAAGAAAATACATTAAGCATAATTCTACGATTAGCATTATAAACGATGAAAAATGTGACATTGTAATTCCAAAAATACGCACGGTTTTCAGTTTTCTTGAACTGAAATTAAATTTGTGTTAGAGGGAAAACGATTTCGTTTATATGCTAAGTCGCAAGTGAAATCAGTAATACGCTAAATCGCGTGATTACCAAAAAAATCGGAAATCACTTATGACTTATGAGTTGAACACGGATTTTTATGCATTAAAAAGTATTAAAATATGCAGTAAAAATAATAAAAATATGCAACAAATATGCAAGAATTTTTTTTTTTTTATATAAAATGTATAAATTAAATAACTTATAAAAGTTAATTACTTAAATATAGAAATATAAGAAATATGAGAAATTTTCGCTTTAAAATGCTATTCGAATTTTGTAAAAATATGCAGAAAAATATAAATATAATATAAAATTATTTGATTAAAATTATTATAATTCATGAAGATAACTGACAAAAATCCAAAAAGTAAAAATATGCGATTCCATAGAAATCCGCGTTCTACTTATGAGTATAAAGTATATAGAATAATACATCCACGGCCAATGTAATTATAGCTCAACTGTATACTGTGTACTGTTCTCATCGTATTCAATCACACAAAATATATCCAATTATTTGAATAACGTTCTGTCAATTTAATTATTATTTATTACACATGATTTATATTATATTATCTATAACTGAAACACGTAGACTTGTGAACCTTTTCACAATCCGAAACATAATTATACTAGGTTAGATGCCAATTGCAATATTCGTAGTCGTAATAATGTATTAACATTAAATACACAACGACAGAACGATGTAAAATATGCATTATTTATAAAACATACTTATTGGCATCGGTGTTGTTTAAAAATTATAAATATTAAAATGAAATGTTTTCGCATTGTATCCATACAAATTATATGAGGCGTATAGCTGCGGTCTACGGGTATAACGGAACTCAAAGTATGATGGTGACAATAAACGTGCACGCAGCAATATAATAAAATATATATCACGTAATATAAATGCTATTATATCACACCCTCGTAATTTTTCCCCCCAAAAATAACAAAAGTAATGGAATCGTTCACTTTATTATAACACTTGCGTCAGTGTGCCGTTAAAATCTATTCGCCTATTCGTGACATTTTGATTATTCGTTGTCAAAACTAAAGTTAACTTCCAATAAAGGAAAACATATTATACAAAATTTTCTAGCTACTCCAAATATATTACATAACGTTGTGTTATTAAATTGTGGACTATGGTCATTATATCTCGCAGGTGTATAGGTACTTAATATTATTATTACGCGGCGTTAAAAATATTAATTACAGCTACTCATTCCGCTAAAAAAGCATGTGTAATTAATAATATAAAAGGCGTGTAAAGTGCGTCTCCTACAGGATACGGCGCACAATTAATTTCGTGCAACAGCTGGAGGGGATTTCTCGCAAAGGTTTCATCCGCCGATCGATATCCTTTTAACTTTGGGGTGGCGAGTCCGTCTTACACACAATATTCTTATTAACTTATTTATTTATTTGATTTTTTTTTGATTTTTCAGCTACCAAATGTTACATATAATATATAAATATATAAGAATTGAAGTATTTTTGAAGGTCTTTGTACTCATCCATAGCATTATTTTAATTATTAAAAGTAATTAACGTTACAGATAAATATTTTTTGCTCTGAACTAGAGTGGTTGAAAAAATATTGGAGCAGTAAAATAATATAATATAAAATTTAAACGAATAGATTAACACGTATTATAAGTTATCTAAAATGTTAATAATATAACACTCCGCTCATCCAAACTAAAAATTTCTTTATGAAATTAACAGCAAATAAAAATAATAGTAAAATTTTATAAGTATAAAAAAAAAAAATTAATTTATAAAACAAAAACTGTTTTACCAAATAAATATATTAACGTTGAATTTTTTAGGATACAGATGGTCATACGAACAGCTAGCTTTTATATCAGCATCAATTAGTCACTAAAGATAAATTATCCATTGACTTCTATAGTAGATATATTAAATCATAACATTTTTGTACGACAACAACGAAATAACAGCACAATAATGTACACTTTTTCAATCCTAACATTTTATTTGCATAAATATAGTGAAACAAAACTATTATTTTTTTTCCAATAGATTTACAAAATTAAAAAAAAAAAAACTTTTTTCTTATACTTATTTCTTATTGTTCCAACTTTGAGGTATATGAATCATACTAGTATAAATTATAACTACTATTATGGACTAACGGGTTTCTATGATATAATATTATAGTATTATTTATTTATTCCATAGAGTAAAGAATTAAATATAATATAATACATAATATTATATATATTATGTGTACAATTCACTGGATATAGTTTTATTTATGCGATATGAAAAGTGGTAAAATAAATTATATTTTAATCAATAATTAATATTGACACACTGTAAACTAAGATAGGTATATTACTATAAAAGGTAATAGACATATATAAAATTTTATGTGTTTATATTCTTACTCCGTGGATTTACGGGTGTGATAGTAAATATTGCGTATATGAAATAAGTGGGTGAAACACGATTGCGGACGATCACGCTATAATATGAAAAATTGACACAAGATATTATTTTGTACCCAAAAAATGACACGATTCAGGACGAACTTAGTGAAACGTTACCAAATTGTGCGACGCAGTTTACGGAACACAACGATTATCAATTTGATGATAGTCTTGTCGTTCGGATGTTTAGTGAGCATCAATTACAACACGGTTTAAGATTTATATATAATTACGTAAAGTTCACCTATATATTCTTAAATCGTGGACACAATATTAATAATAATAATAATATAAAATATAAATGATGATAAGTGATATTGACGTCGTATTTCTATAATTACTCGTAATTTATAATAAATCGTCCGTGATACATTTAAACATTTCATCAAGACAAAGAAACGATAATCTAAAATATGTTCAAGTAGATATTTACTTGTGTCGTTATTAATTGTAAGTTCATAATTTAGGCTAATTTATAGTAACTTCAATACCTTTACTATAATCAAAATTAAAAACTTGGTTTTAAAATAAGTAACACACGTAGAGTAGTTAACCGTAAACACTGTACTGCGACAATAATTGTGTTTGTCAACATAACATAACACACAAGAAAATTATCAAAGTTCAAACGCAATCGTTTATACCAAATTTCAATAATACTAAAATAATTGATAATAACCAATAAGTTCGCTTTTAAACATTTTATATATCACATGCAATTGGTGCACTATTTAGAAATGCTAAAAAAAAACCCAGAACGCAATTATTATTAATAGACAGTAGTATTACACTATTACACATTTACATCTTTTTACTAACTCGAGATCGAAATGAATATTTCATGAATTTGATTCTATGTAATATAAATCGAACTTATAGCTTATACATAGTTTCGTTTTAAAGCAATAGAAAAAAATAAATGCCTTCAAAATTCATACTCTAATCTTTAGTTATATCATACAAGTCGAGTACTGAAAAAAATAAACAAAAATTATAATAGTATATATTGTACTATTTTTATAAAAGATTTATAATATTTGAGTTGATTTATATATAAATATACTAAACGTAATAATATGTTAAATTTCTGAAAAATCAATGCAAATTATTTATTATTTTAGTTAGCTAGGTAACGTGTACGTTTATTTCGTATCACTTTCTAAGTACTATTTTTTTTTTTTGTATTCAAATGTTGTGAAATAGTATAAATAATATTGAAAATAGTTTATTATTATGGCAGACGAGCAAGTGGAATTAGCGTCAAAAGATGTTTTTGTTTTATTGGGAGTCTCTGTTCCTGAAAATTTAGAAATTGGAACTAAACGGCAAGAACAAGGTGATACAAAGGACGTTGAAAACGAGTCAGTATTTACACTCGATGAAGATGACAAAGTGTATTTTATGGTAATGAGTGACGTATAGTTAGGTACAATTATTTAGTTAGTGTGACGGTAAAAACATGTTTATGGTTTTTTCTAGGAAATAATTGGGTGAAAGATTCACTAAGTAGTATATATTATTGTGTATGAAATTATTATAAACTTGCATTGTTATAAATGTATAATAACTACCAAAACATCTGAGAATATGCATTCGAATAAAATTATTAGTTTAGTGCCTAAAAATATTTGTTAAATAATTAAGTTACCTACTACTTTGGTGTTTTCAAATGTCGTAATATTTTTGTCGATTTCAAGAATGTTGTCGAACCACTTGTGGTCGATGTCACACCACCGGATGATTTGGACAACAGTTCTACTGACAGTTTCACTCAAACTGAAATCGAAGAACAACGATGGTATAATCCAACATTGAACACAGGACTAGAAAAATCTGATTTTGAAACCTTAAAAAGACTGTTAGCAGAAATTAAGGTGAACAAATTTTAACTGATGATAAGTAATCTAGACAATTGGAAAGTAGATAACTAATGTGATATACAAATATATTTTTGATCATTAATACATATTTAATTTTATACCAAGGTTGTGTGCGATCATATTATTAGTTATTATAGTTTCAATTACTATTCTTAAGATAACATTATTAATTATTATACACACCTAAATTAGCCCACCTTCAAAAATAAGTATACATAGATAATAATAATTATATATTATTTACTTGACTCCATAGGCACTGCAAATATTGAAGTCTTATACCATATACTAACATAACATTAAAAGTGTGTGCGATATTACCTTTTATTGTACTTGTATTGTTTTTTCATTTATTTTACATATATTTTTGTTTTAAGGCATAGCTCTACAAAACGTTTTATTTATAAATCTACGACTAGTGTATTATCTATGAAAGTTGTGCTGAACTGTAGATATACAACGAAATAATGTAATTAATTTTAACTTGTACTTGTAATAATTATTCATGGAGAATAAAATTGGTATGATTACAACTTTTTGTTACGTAATATCGGTGAAAATAGAGGTGTTTTCCACCCATTTTTGATTAGCAGTTTATATTATATGATTATATTGTATATTATTGTATGTATTAAAATATAAGTCAATCAAAAGATTTGGAATTCTATTACCCTCTTATGCACGTAATTGAACGAAATAAAGTTTGTTGTGGTCATACCTTTTTATTAGTAATTTAATCATTTTTTTTTTTTTTTTTTTGTATTGTTTCTATTGTACTTAATCATTATTAAATATGTTATTAGAACTAAAAACACCGATAGATTTTCGAAAAACCATTAAATATAGGTTTTTAACTAACTCTTCGTCAAAACTGATTTTTACGTTGGAACTAGTTTTAAATTTTTTTTGAAACTAGTGTGCTTGAAATTTATTGGTGAAAATTAAAAATAACCAGTAAAAATTGATTTTTGAGTCATTTCTGTATCATTGAAATGGGAGTAAGTACACATAATACGATAAGGAGTGATGAACTTTCATTGCTTTCATTTTTTCATTTAAGTATTTTAAGTGTTAGTCATAGATTATACCTCGTCGTTCTTTCATTGTTTTTATTTTGGTTTCGTAATTTTTATTTATTCCTATATGTAGTCAACCACAGTTGGTTGTTAATTGATCGTTCGATAAGATATAATTAGCGCAACAGTTCTGTTCCCTTCTCATATATGTTTTTTTCCCAAATTTTGGTAAATCTTTTTTTTCAAATTTTGGTAAATTAAACGTGATCCTTAAAAATTTTAAATCGTCATCGTGCTAATCCAGGTTATAAACTGAAAAATAAGCATTCTAACTACGACTGATATAAACGACATGATATTCATAGCTATTAAATAAATATTATATTATTGTTATTATTAGGTATGTACAGTATTGAAGTGAACTAAATTATGTTGAATTTTTATAGCCAAGTGATCGAAATAATCTTAATTAACTTCATAGCCGGGCTGTATATTACAATCACCTATAGTAGCGGATGTTTTAAAATTTATTTTAAGTTATACTTCAGTTAAATTCATTTTTTTAGTTAGGTATATAATTTGAAGTTAAAACTTTTTTTGACAAATTTTTGATTTTAACTGTAATATCGTAGTATTTATTAATATATATTTTTAATTAACTTTCAAACTTTAGAATACTGACCCGACAAAAACTTTAGCTGCATTGATCAAACTTAAAATGGAAAAAATATTAGAGGGACCATATCAAAACATGTTTATTGCTTTAAACGGCTTCAAAGTGCTGATTAATATACTGGAATGTAACAACGAAGATTGCATGGTATACAGAAAACTATCTCATTGTTATAGGTTTTTTACTTATTATTTTAATCATAAATGCAACAATGATACTTCAGGAAAACGCTTTGATCATTGTACACGAAATGTCCCAACATTATGGAATCCAATGTTCGTTATGTAAATTGGATGCAGTAAAACCATTAATTAATATTTTGTTATTTATAAACAACTACAACGTCAAATATTTAGCTTCGGAAACGTTACAGAATATTGCCAAGCTAAGGAAAGGCAGAAAGCTTATCCGCCTAAGTGGCGGGATTAAGATTATAGTAAAGTATTTTCTACGGTTATCGATCACGTATTAAACTTAAGCATTTATCTATTGGTTTTTGATCAAATATTACAATAAAAATAACGATCGACGTTTAAGGTGCAAATGATGAACGTATCAAAATACGTATTACCCATGCATTTAAATAATATGAATGAAACAAATCGAGCCACAGTGGGTTTGATGAACTGTTGTTCCGGTATCCTTAGACAACTGTGCCGGTCTTTAAAAAGTCAAGAAGAGTTGTGGTAAAGCTTATGAACACTTTATTACTACGGTGCATTATGCCTTAAACTAAATATACGTTTTCATAGGGAAACTGGGTTCGTGCAATTGCTATCTCAACTTTTGAATTCGGTACATAGCGAAACTCAAATATCCATAATGAGTTTAGTCGCGGAATGTTGCCGTACGCGACCAGAAGTCGTTCAACAAAAGACAAATATAAACATTAGAGTATTACTAAAAGAGCTGAACATTTTGCAGCAAATCATACAGTTTTTGGTTAGTGATATTACGCAACTTGCGGAAAAAGCAGCCGAAACGATACTGTGCATGTTTGACGACAGTCTTGCAATATACGACATACTGCTGAAATACAGGGGGATGGAAACTATATTCAAAGCTATGCAAAAATTCCAGTAAAAACAAATATAAACATTATACATATAATTATATTATAGTATAATAGTATGTGCAATATGTACAATATGTGCATGTCAATATGTCATTAATAAGCTTAGAATGAAATCTTTGGCCAGTTGCTCAAATATTTTCCTAGGTAGCAACTAGCAATATTAATTTCAATAAACCAGATACCAATGATTTTTTGATGTTATATAATTCACTGCCTGTATAATATTTTCATTATTATATACTTTTTCTTTTTAAAAGAATTCGAATTTTAATTTAAGTCTAAAATCGAAAAATTATATATTTCACTGATTTCATTTATTATTAAATTAAAGACAATACATAAAAACTGTAAGTATAAAAATATTTGGTTAAACTCTGCAGTGACTGCGGAAATAATTAACTAGATTTCAATATTAATTAATACTAAAATAATGCTTTTTTACGGATAATATTCTAAGAATAAGATAAGGTAGGTACAAGGTTCATCGGCGATCACTTAATGGAGTATTTAAAATTTATCACTGTAAGATTTTTATTGTAATAAAGATTCTTAAAATAAACCCTTTGCCTTTAAAAATTTTAAATGTGAATATAAATATTCTTAAAATTGATATAATAGTCAATTCTTTTTACTTAACTAAGTCCATAGCAGAAAGTTTATAAATTATAAGTTAATATGTATGAAATTTGTGAGTCCGCAACAATATTAATAGTTAATTAATAACGTTAAAAATAACGTTGTTAATATTATTTTGTTCTTTTGTATGTTTCCTAAGCGCAGAACAATATTAATACCATTTTTTTGCTAAACCTAATCATTTTATTTTGTGTAACCAATGTAAACAAAAAAACAATCAATCGTTTTTCGTGAATCAATTAATCCCGCTGTAAGCCCTTCTACAAAATTTAAATTTGTAAAATTGTTTCTTAGTACGTAATAAGTACATTTTCTCAAAATTTCATATGAATCAATCGGTAGTTTTGGGTATACTCTGATCAGTTAGTCAGTCATGACACGTTCAAATGTATACATAAAATATAAATAATGTACTCGAAAGGTTTTGATTTTGTTTTTAAAAATGTTTGTCATATTAAAACTTATTCTAACCTCCATACATATTGTTTTTTTTAAATATGCCGTTGCAAGCACCTATTACCTATTGATGGTATACAACCGTCTTAATATAAAAACTATATTAATTAGTCATAATATTTTGTCTTGTAGGAATGAGGATCACGTTATGGTGTTAGTTATCACTCTGTTGTGGAAGAGTTCGTTGCATACAAAATGCAGACAAGTTATCGAGAAAGATCCCATTGTAGATTTTCTACTGGGATTATTAACATACAAATTCGATGACCGAGTGATCGGCTACGCTGTCGCCACCCTGTCCGAACTGTGGAAATCTGAATCGTTGCGGGGCAAGCTTAGACGATTAGCCGTGCCCCAGTATCTGGAACTACTAAATACTAGCCTGCACAGCTTAGTGTTGGCGCACGTATGCACCGCTCTGGGCCGAGCATCTAGTGACCCACAAAGTATGGAAATAATCGATGAAGCCAAAGGATTTCGATTGATTTTCGTGCTATTGCCGTCCCTGGACGTGGACGAGTTCGATAAATACGAGGACTTTTACGAACCGCAAACGATCATCGCCGTTGCCGAATGTCTGGCCATGATAGTTGAAAACACAAAAGTAAATGTACTTTTTATAATATCTACTATTTACGGTATTTTATGTGTTTAGTGAGCAATATTAAATTACACTATTATAGAAATACTAGTTTTTTTTATTATTGTTTTACATTATTGGTTTGTTTAGTTCAACCTGAACCCTCTAAAAGGAATGTATGAGGCTGTCTGCGATTTGGTAGATTTACTAACACATAAGAATTTGGACTTCTTAGCGGCGGTTTGTCATTTGATTGACGTGATCGCTACATTCGAAGAGAATTTAAAAATAATGGTTGATGCAGGAATCGTTGAACATTTATCAAATCTTGTATATACGGTAAGTTTAAATGTTCATACCCAATAAACTTGAATGGTTATTATAATAATATATCTGTAATAATACGATATATTAAATATCTATTATATTATATATATCATTATTTGTTACAGGAGCATACAAATTTGAGAGCCAATCTTTGCAAAGCTTTGGGTAAATGCTGCAAAATTGGTGTTACAGCGCGTAGATTCAGCTGCCAAAATATTATTGATGAATTAATTAAGTACACGCAATCAGAACACACAGTAATTAGAGAAAACGTTCCTCTTGCGCTTAGTGGGCTATCGGAAGATCCATTAAATTGTGTAAGGATTGAGGCTCTCGGGTTTCTACCGGTATGTTTACATTTCTTTTAATGAAAAATGTGGTACCATTTATTTAAAAATGTTAATGAAATTGTCTAGTTTTTGAAAGAATGTATACATTCGGATAATCCTAAAACGGCCATGGCTGCTGTTAACTGTTTGAGCAACGTAAGGAAAGCAAGTGCAGCTATAGGCCAGTTTCAAGAATGTTCAAAGAAACGTTGAAAATTATGTATTATATATATAATATATACAAAAAAATATATTATAATATATTGCTTATGCATAATAAATAAATATTTTAAAAACTAATTAGTTAAATATAACATTTGTATTATGATTCGTATTAAAATTTTATTTAATCTAATAAACGCCCTACTCTGAGTATAGTTAATATCATAAGCGAAACTAGACACTTATTAGAGCAGGCCCAGTGAAAAATATAAAAAAAAAACTTCTATTAATAACTTTATATAATAATTTTGTTTAATGTATGTATGTATAATGTATATGTATATATACAATGAATATTTCTTTAAAATTTAAATATTTAATAATAAACAAAAATTTTAATAACTATTAATATATTTATAATTTTACTATTTAAATTATTATTATTAAAATGTCCATGGTTATGTAATGTTAAAAAAAATACATACATATATAAAATTTTTTTAATGAAAGATTGTATTTTTATAGGTAGTTTTAAAATTATTCCGAATTGTTTTCATAAAATTGTTGACAATTTACACATAGGTACTGCTTGTTTTGTGTCGAATATAAAATAAAAATGACGAAAATATTGAATTTTATAATGAAATTATATGAACAAACAAACGATAAAATTGACAGACTATAACTATCCATAACAAGAAACGATTATGGTGGTTTTTTTTTGTATCTAAAAAAATAATCACTAACGAAAATAATATTGAACAAAATTAATTTCGAGTTCAGTCACATACAGTGACTTTAAAAACACCTATAAATTAAAAAAAAAACTATCGTTAATTGTTTTAAATAGCATTAAATGATAGCTTGACTTGGATATTAAGGTATTTAAGTATACGAAATAATGTAAATTACTTATAATGAGTACCTAATTTGAAAAATTATAAATGCCCGGTCTTTTATACAGCGATGCGACTAACTGGGATTAATAATAAATAAATAATTTGGTGATGTACTAATGTGTATAATAATAATATGGTATTATATTTTAAATTATTATAAATATATTTGACTTTATTTATAAAACAAAATATTCTACCTCTCGGCTCTCCATGATTTTGTTATGTTCAACATAAGAATCTTGTGAACAATCGCTGTCGCCGGTCAATGATAAAAATATGAATTTATAATAAAAGAAATAATATGAAAATACTATTTCTTATAATCGACAATAATTTTCTACGGGTATTGATATACAAACATTACCAACTGGTGACTTGTTATATAAAATTAACTATTACCTACGTATACCTATAATATAAAAATATACTTAAAATGTTTAAATTAAACATTGTAAAATAATTAATAAAATCGATTATTCGAGTACATAGAATAGATTACACGACTCCATAATTCCATAATCAATGTTAAAAATAAATTTTATTATTATGTTTTTTGTTTAGCGTGTACCTACAATATAATTTAAGAAATCATATCAAGTCCACATATTCGTACATTTCTAATAGGTACGAAAATAAAATGGTATATAATCGTGCAGAAGGTATGTAACATTTAAACGGACATTTTTACAAATTTTAGATACGAAAAATAAAGTTTTTAATTTTAAATGAATATATTATTAGGCATTAAAAAAAAAACGTTTTATTACCTATATTATATTATAGACATTATAGCCCTCATTTGTACCTATATACTTTATTATATTATAGTTTTATAGTATTATGCAAAACGTACAAATGTATTCGTTTACATGTATAAATATATTATTTATAAATTTATAATGTCTAAATAAGTATTAAAATACGAGTATATAATATGTACAAATTTTTAGCCAGTATTAGGTCAGGCCATAACCGGACGCAACCTTCTATCAAGTCTACATGTCTTTTGTTTTCTTTTTAAGCCCTTCATAATTTGCTTATTGTATAATAATGTATACAGATTGTAAATATTCTTTAAATAAATAAATAAAAAAAAAAAGAAGTAAATGAAACTAACATATTCAAATAAGAGTAAGTAATTGAGATTACCTATACGGCACATACTAAAAAAAGCTTAAAATAAGCAAAAATGAGTTTAAATACACAACATTAACATAATATTTGTAAAAATAATTAAAAAAACAATTTAGGGCTGTACTGAAAATAATAGTAAAAAATGTTCGGGTCGTGTACGCGTGTAAAATTAATCACCCCCCCCCCCCCAACAAGGTGTCCCAGATACGTGTCTTAATATTACCCTGAACATCTTGTAAAGCTGATAGGTCATTTTCAATTTTTAAAAAAAATCAAAAATATTTTGGAGACTCAACATAGAAGACAATAGACTAAATAGATTAGCAGCCCTGAAAAATATTCACCGTGAAATTAAAATTGACAGAGCTAGATGACGTCACGAGAGAGTTAACGTAGAGAAAAAAGCGATTAGATTTTGTAATTTAAAATTTGTATTATTTTATTATGTTCTACTAATGTGTGCAATAATTTTGTAAAATACTTTCACGTAGAATTTGACATCTATCACAATAATTATATATGATTTTTATCTAAACATAATACATTGAGTATAAGTTTATTAGCTCATCGAATGCCGGACGCAAGTCCTGTAATCGGAAATTATTACAGCAATGGGTTTGAATAAGACAAAATAATAAACTTTAAGAGGACGCCGCACCCGCATGTGTTATCTCCTGTCTTACATACATACAACATAGCAAATTTTCGTTTAGCAGAATCCATTTTATGTAGTTAGCTTTAACATTAGAGTAAATTTACCTATTATCAAACTGAAATTTAAGAATTTTATCTAGGCAATGACATAGGCTTTTGTTAATATTATAATTTTAAAGTGAGTTATGAGCATTCTAAAGTTTCAATATCTTATATGGCTATAACTCAGCTTACAATTAAAATATCAATAAAACCCTACGTCATTGTCTAGATGAAATTCTCGTCTTTAAGTTCGATAATAGGTAAATTTACTCTAATGTTAAAGCTAACAGCATAAAATGGATTCTACTGAACGAAAATTTGCCATGTGTGTGTATGTAAGACAGAGACAACACATGAGGGTACGGCGTCCTCTTAAATAACATTCATCCGAAATAGGGGTAACTACACTACTCTGTACGCGCTGCTGTCGGACATCACCCCTCGAAAAACATTCCGGTCGCGTCGCAGCCGACTAACCACTGTGTTTTGTTTATAATAATATCACAAAATATTAAGATTTATTTCCCCGTCCGCCCCTACTTTTGATAACCAATAAAAATTGTCGTGTTGACTGAAGCGTTAGATTTTTATTATTTCATAACGATATAATATATTATATATGCGTATAATACTCCGTAATCCAAAGTCGTATTCGTGTATTTGTACGTACGTAAATATGTGTGTGCGTGTGTGTGTGTGTGCGCACGGCGCGCGAGTACGCAGGTGCGTAGTGTGTACAAGGCCGCGCGTGTGTGTGTGATGGCGTGTGTGTACGTGGCCGCGTGTGTGTGCGCGGGTATGTGCGATGGCGTTGCGAGTGCGTGCGCGTGAGGGCGCGGGAGGACGCGTATGAGCACAGGCACGAGTGTGCGCAGGCGGGAGTGTGCGCAGGCGGGAGTGAGCGCTGGCGCAGGTAGGAGTGTGCGCAGGCGGGAGTGAGCGCTGGTGGCGGGAGTGTGCGCAGGCGTGAGTGAGCGCTGGCGCAAGCGCGCGCTGTGTGTGTGTGTGTGGCGCGTGCAGACCCAAGGAAACGGATTGACGTGTGAGAGAGAGGGAAGTGTCCGAGAGGCCGATGTTGTTTTAAAAAAGATGGCGTCTACAGCTTGCGCCCGTCTACGGCCATAGAGTACTACGGTCAAAACAGTGTGACAACGGCGAGAAAGTTTTTCGAAAAAGACGGAGACAGCACACGGCGTCGGGCCCCTCATAAGCGCCGTACTGTGCACGCACAGTCGACCCACAACGTTTTCTCTCCGGCGACGTGGACGACGCTCGGCAATCGAGGGTCACCCACCACAACCCGAAACCCCTCAAACCGGGCACGGAGGACGCTCGGTCCGGTGTACGTCCGCGGTCGAGTGCGCCCAATATTAGATGCCCTTACTGTTTTCGAAACTGTAGTGAAGAGCGGTGAATGGTTTTAAAAATATTGTAGATTATTTTGCGAGGTTGTCGAGTGTTCGACTTGGGGCGTCGATAACAATACTCATTACTCGGGCTCTCGGCTTCACAGCCGACTAGGGCAAGGGCACTAAGCCAACTATATTATCGTTTTGCGCGCGTGTGTGTGTGTGTGTGTGTACACTGTACAGTATACGAATACAATAAGTGTTGAGTGAAGTGGGACCCGGTAGCAAATAATTGTCATACTACCAACGGCTAATCAATCCGACGACTTATCTGTTATCATTGGGTAGGGTAACCATAGATATTCTTAATAATCTATGTGGGTAACGGGCCAACGGGGTAACATATCATCATTGATCTTCTGCGTACCCAACACTATTTCATTGTGTGCAGTGTGTGTGAACCTAACCGAGTGCCGGTTAAAACGATGTCACCGATCGCGACGCGCGACGATGGTGTTTATTAAAAAATAATAAATGTATGCTAATTATTATGGTCATAAATCATAATGTACTAAACCTACCCATATCGTTCGTGTTCGAGTGTGATATCATTGAAATAACATTGCGACGCGCCCGACAGGGCCGCTCGATACGTCCCACAGGCCTCCGTTGATTTCACCCGGAGGCCTACCACACATTTTTTCCCGCCGCCTTACTCCGTAAAGATTGGCGTTTTGTGACGCATACGGTGACCGCCAAATCGCATCGGCGTTACAATAATATTCTCTCACCGGCCGCCGAACGGCTGATAACAGCCCCGGCGGGCCAGTGGGCGGCGGCGGCTGATAACCGCGTCGGCCAGGGTACAGGGCGGGCCACCGAGTTCGGATCTCCGTCGGTCCGTCGTGTGGGCCCCTCCCCCCCGGGCTCGTTAATTTTTCATCGCCCCGTTGTCCGCGTGTCTCCGTTGTTTGCGTTCCGTGTTGGGCAACACTGTACGACGCGTCGCTCGCCATCAACAGGTCACGCGGCGGCTTGTACCGCCAACTGACACGGCCACGCTGATATCACGAGATAACAAATAAATAGGTATTAATAATATTATATTACATTATTATTATTTCGTGTTCGTCGACTCGTCGAGAAAAGCCGCGTAAGCGCCCTCGTAGACGTCCGTACCCTACTACGGTATCTACGATTTTGAGTTTGAACCGTCTGCGAAAACGCGATTTGTAATTGATCGACCGAGCTTTGAGAGACGTATCATATCGATATAGTCGTTTTACACGCGTCCCGTTACACGCCGGCAACATGAACGTAGACGCCGAAGCCATTTTTTACATCACCAAAGGCATCATGACCTTAGAGGAAATCAAGTGAGTTAGATTTACTCGTGTGTCCATTTATAAACTTTAATGACCGAGTTTTGATACATTTTTAAGGAAGTTAAACGACGACCGCGAGAACTTGGACCTTTCGTTGTTGATCGGCTTGACGACCAATGATCAGCTGTTCGACCATATCCTAATCGAAATGGACATATTTTGTAAATGCCGTAAGAGAATTGAGGTAAGGCCGGCTGTTTTTATGATGCCTTATGGAATATTAAATTTGTTTTATTAAATTGTTAAGGAAAAAGACAAGTACACTAAACGTTCAATATTTTTACTCTTGATGTTGTTTGATCGCATAAACGATATGTTTGTCTATATGGTTTCCTTGTTTACCATTAAGGCTGAGTATATCCAGAAGTATGCACAATTTTGCTCAGATCATGTAAGTATAAACTAACTATGCATTATATCAACATAAATATTAATTAAATTTTTTTTTTTTTAAGCTTCCACAAATAGTTGCTGTTTCTCATACAACTCTTGAATAATCAAAGTTCAGAATAAACATTTTTGTTATCTAATGCACTAATTAATTATGCATCTTAATATTAAATAATTATTTTCTATTGTAAAACTTAATTACATTTGTCACCTACTATTATTATTATAAATGTTTGTTTTACCATCAACTTCTAAATGAAATAAGTATAAAAATCTCTGTTGTAAGCATTAACATATGAAATATATTTTTTTTTATTATATTTTACATATTATTTATCATTTTTTTTCAATTCATCTAAGTTTCAATTGTAATTAAGCTCCGTCCATATTTATGTTATGTCATCAAGGTATTAACTATCTATCTATAAAAATTAATTTGAATAAATATTAATAATGTTACAAGTGAAATGAATATAATATTGTATTTTTAGCACTTAATAAACCAAATGTATTGATACCTATTTCATTTCAACTACAGTCAAATCACAATAACTTGAATCTCAATTATTTGAAAATTTGTTTTACCTTTTGGAGTGTTCATACGTCTACTATTTCTACTTAAGGTATGCACTCAAAAAACACATAAGTCAAGTTAATTTTTATCCTTCTTTGAGATTTTAGTTTGCGAGAGTCGACTGTATATATAATACAATTATTGTGTAACTGAAATTTTTTGAAATTTAAACAATGCTATACTATTATTAATCTTGTATAATTTACATTTAATTTTAAATATTAATAATTATTTAAGTTAACGATTGTATTTAACTCTTGTAACCATACAATATTAAATAATTAAAAATGTTTATAAAATATAACACTGTTATTGAGTTTTGATTTTAAATGTGATACAGGTAATGTCAGTTGATTAATGGTTAATGACAATTATTGGTTTTATAGTAAAATTAATTTGTATTTACTTAAAATATTTACTGATGAGTTTATTTAATACTATAATTGTCTTTTATTTAATGTTTTTTAAAAAAAAGTCTCTCGTAACTATAATAATTGACTTTTATCTACTACAATATACTATAGTCCATACCAGAAATGACGAATATAAAAAGGTTTGCAGGTAACGTGGATAAATACAATGATACTAAGAGACAAATGTTAATACATAGACTCATTTTACATAATTTGATGATTTTTTATAACTAAGATGCAAGCCACATCTGATAATAGCCTGAGCCACCATCGGCCACCTTGCTCTATAATAATACTCTACAGCAGCGATTCCCAAACTGTGCTCTGCGGAGCCCATGGGATTCCACAATGGTTTCCCAAGGGCTCCGTTCATTATTGTCCGTATGTATACAGTTTGTGTTAATTATGCTTCATAGAACACAGGCAAATGCAAATAAACGTTAAATATTTCTTGGGGCTCCACGAGAAACTTCTCCTTAAAAATAAGCTCTGAGGCTCAAAAAGTTTGGGACTCGCTGCTCTACAGTGTAGAAAAATACAATAAGTTATTACATTTATAAGGTTTGTATATAAGCAATTCATTTTATAATAATAACTGATTTGTGATGGTGCACTTGCATTAGCAACTATATACCATCATTTATTTTTCCTAAATGTTGGTACTAATTTGATTAGTTTTTATAAATACAAAATCATTTACGAATAAAATGTAATTGTTACTAAGTAGTTGTGAACAACTATACCCTTCTGTCGATGGATATTTTATAACAAACTCAATAGGATTGAGCTTTAAAAACAATAAAACATAAACTTAAAATTGTTGTAAGCGTTATATTTCCAAACATATTTTTTGTTTTAAACATTTAATCAAACATATTTTGTTTCCAAAAATAAAGTTCAATAAAAATTATAATTTTTGTATTACAATGATCAACTGAAAGGGAAAAGTAGAAAAAAGGAATCAAAAAGATATTTTAAGTCTTGTAAAAATTACAAATAATCATTTTTTTTTTTTTTTTTTGTAGCATAAATTAACAGTCTAAAAAGTTAGAGGCAATCAAAAGTTGTAAAGAATCAGCTTTGTTAACAGGGAACTTCGGTATTTTTTTTGAAGGAAACTTTGTGTAATGAGCTTTAAACATAAAATACTTGCATACCATTTCCAATATGTTTCCACTGTAATAATATAAAACAAAAACAATATTAAAATAAAATCTTTATCAATAATTGTTCATTATACAAATAATTACATAATGTTTCTATATTAGTGCATTCATTGTAAGTTTTTCCAAATTCATTTTTCAAAAGGGGAAAATAATAAAAATTTTTATTGATTGAATAATATTTATCATTTTTAAATTCTATTATTGACTTGAAATATAGTAATACTATTTTAATTAGTGAAATTTATATACCTAGCTAAATATGTATAGTGACGATTAATCATGGGCGCCCACGGGTGGGGGTCGAGGGGAGCTTCTCCCTCGCTATTTTAGTTAATATTAAATATTAATTATTTTATTACCTATTTGCATTGACTTTTATAATATAGTCTTATGATTTTGATTTTGTCCCCACCCTCACCGATTTATATATCTGCGGGCGCCCTTATGATTAATATTTGTGATTGGGATGTATTATATACTAGGAAAATACTTACTTGCAAGTTGCAACCATAGTTTATTCGATAATTTTTGTAAATAAATTCCATAACAACAATATATAGTATGTACAATATTTCAAACATGTATACATTTTACATTGCAAATCCAATCGATAATTAACGTACGTGATCACTTACGGTATAAGTTGAAAATGTATGCGATTTGTCTGGTTTTCGGTAAAGTATCCGTAACCACTAATCAGGCCTTTGATCATATTGGACATGATAGCATGCTCTCTTTTCACGATGAACTCTCGATTGTCGCACGACACCAACTTGATGAACGTCGAGTTTGGTCCGTCCAGAGCTCCTCCATGTTTTTTCTAAACAATTGTCAATCATTATTATTATCAAGATTCAGAAAACGACGTTTAACATCAATCGTCGTTATTATTATTATTATTATTATTATTTAATAATTACTATTCGGGCACCGTCCGGTGACATGCGCGCTCCGTCCATCGAATAGGTACCAACGATTTTTTCGGCAGGAAGATTGACAGGTCCGACAGGACGGGCACGAAAATGTGTGGGATGTATCTAATATAGTATTAAATATTCCCAGAATCGATCTCGGCCTTTACGCGTCGTGCGTACAAAATGCACACACAGCCAATTATTCTTGCGGTCTTCGGAGTTCGAAGGGCGGGCGAAAGTAATAAACTTTGTTTACTTGTGTGCCCACGCAAAGTTTTGTCGATGAAACCGAGGGGAAGCTGTGGCGGCTAACAGTAAATAAATAATATATAGGTCGACGTATTATTTTAGTTTGTTGACACTGAACGCGGCGCGCTTTTCGCTGGTTGGTTATCGAGAACCAAAATATTGATCGCGTGACCCGCCGTTCTATCCCGTTGCTGAAGCTGCGGAGTTGCGCACCATAGCATTCATACTATATTTGCAAAGTCCCTGCGACACTCCACCCACTTTTGCAAGTTTCAGCCCTCCATCAAACCCCGTCTTTCCGTTTTGTTTTTTCGGCGACGCATATACATCGCACGGCGGCGCAAAACGAACTCCCGACTTAAGAATTCGGGATCTCGCTTTCATATACGTGCCACTAGGGCTGAGGGTGTACACGTCGTTTTCCTTTATCAGTATAACTCTCCCTAATTTAAAACAATGTAAAATTAGAAATTTTCGCTTTTATTATTTCGGCATTCGACCGCCAAAACGCAAGCTTGTTGGCATATTAGGCACACCGTTGACGAAAACGCCACGTACTATCGTATCTGTGGCGTATAGCTATTTAAATATAAAACAATAAATTTCGAATTCATCAGAAAACGCTGTGGAATGCGTGGTTTACGAAAAGCGTCGGAAAATTAGGTATGCGTGAGTAGCCCCAGTATAATACATTATTTATTATTACCAGTACTTTTGATGAGATCTAATTTTTAAAACACTAACCAAGAATAACAGCAGTGGTTAAATTCCAAACCAAAATTTGGAATAAAAATGTTGTTAGGTAGAAATACCTATACGATTTGTAGCTATTAAATAACATTTTCAATCAAAAAACTTTTAATTTACATTTTTTTTATAATTTAAAATTTTCCATACCTATACTGTTCGAGTTTGGCGTACTTAACATTAGTTGTAATAGTGATGAAAATCCTTTTATTCTACAGTGCCTTTAATACTTTCTTCGTTATGGTTTTTTCAGCTTCAACCGACTCAAAATATATTCTCTTCAACGAACTTTTTAGTTTTGGAAAGAGCCATTACCTGTATGCAGTGAGATTTATCGAATATAAAGGAAGTTGTAGCAGTTGTGTACTACAGATTCATTGAGGTAATTATCATACTTATTATATAAAAATAGTAGCAAATAGTTTTTAACGTGCATACAAAAATTTTAGATTCTATTATAGATATCTTCTAATTAGTGAAAAATTCCTATATACATAATTTGTATGTTAAACATACAAATTATAGATAGAGTTCGGAAGTTATAGAAGTTAAATATTGTCCAATATGCTCTTGATTTATAGCAGACCAAATTAGAATTCCGAGCTTACAATGTTGAATTTAAAAATTAAAAATTAAATATGCATATTTTGTCGATTTTCAAGAAAAATGAGTATATTTCTTTATTTTTGATTGCATATTATGCATATATTTTAATATTTTCTAAAAATTAATTGTTTTTTTCTTTTATTCAACTATGTATTTTAAATAATCTTATTTTATTTTTCAATTATAAAATTTTTTTTTTATATACTTTTTTATAATTTTTTTTTTTTTGTGTATATTTATAAAATAATAAGTTCTAATAATAGTAAATAGATAATAAGTAACAAAGACATTTTTATAAGTTTTTGAATAATTTTTTGCATATTTATTAGAAAATTTTTGCATACCTATATCTTATAATTTTTTTGCGCATATTTTACCTTTTTTAACTCCTATAACTTTCGAACCTTACTTATAATAGCTATTAAGTAGATAACGACTTAACGGCATGATGTAAATCATAGAACGCCACAATTGATTTTAAGAAGTATTTAGTT